CCAAGTACGAATTCAGACCCTCAGCAAATCATAACGAAGAGGCATGAGGAAACAAGTGTAGACTATAGCCTGAAGAATTTTCTTTACGGTAGAATTTCTATTCCCCACTGTAAGCATATACCTGGATATGCATATGTTTATTTAAGTTTCAGTGTGCGTATCGTTTTGGCAAAGATTTCATTAATAGCTCTTGTGGTTTCGAAAGGGGAACTTAGGAGGGAAATCGAGTAAGCAATGCATACTTGATTTGATACCCAACAAAAGGTGAGCTCTCTCCCCTGGAGGTACTCCCTTTGTGGCCTCCCCGCACAACATACTTTTTCACCAGGTTTTTGCTTTTCCCTCGACTACATCTCCCTATATGTATGCATACATACTCTGATATTTCCATTTCTGCCCACACATCGTTATGCGCTTTAATTTGCAAATGGTTTTGCAGATTTGGTTGCGGTTACAAATTTTGTGTGCGGGGGAGTCTCTGTCTCTACGGCGCTATAGTGGTAGCCCGCAGTGATGGAACTACTCAGCATGGCCGGCGACTATTTGTATTGTTTGAAAAGAACAAAAAGTGTCAGAAGCGGCGCTGCTACTTTTAATGTTTCCTCAATTTGACTGCCAAAAAAAAGGTCGTTAATTGCTCTCTGCCTCTCAGTTGCCCATCCCCCTCGAAGGTCTTTTATGGACCGTGTATATATTACACGGAAAATAACTATTAAGTACTAAATATTTACATCGAAATAATATATACAAATTCCTTACTTCCTTATTTCTTTCTTGTATAAAGGTAGGTTTAAAAGTTATTACATATGATTAGTATAATTAAAAAGCATCTACAAATATTAAAATTACTTTAAACTTTTTTTCTCTGCATCGCTGTAAGCCAAATGTATGCATATAGCCATCGAGATCCAAGTCGCACCATTTCATTTCATGCTCCGCTGCACGTCTACATGCGTCTTTTGTTTATTTATCACCGCGCCGAGCAATAAGTGAAACCCTAACCCCACACAGAGTATATGCCCAGGCTATATTCCACATCCAATACGGATGGATGATATGTGCCCCCCAAACAACATCGAAAACAATGGCGAGAACATCGGCAGAAACAAACAGAAATCGTAATCGACATGGCTGTAATGGGGGTTCCGCGTTAATAAAAATTTTACAGTGCAGAAATTTATGCTTCAAGTCTAGACGACAGTTTTTGGAACGTGCTCAATTAGTTGCACAGTTGTGCGGTGGCTTTTACGGAGTGCGGGGAGCAGAGGGAGGGGGCGATGGAAAATAACGAGAAAAACAAAAGCAGAATTTAAATGAAATTTTTGCCATGCCTCACGACTATAATTCAATCATATTTACTACTGAGTAGAAACCCGCGCAGTTTCAAAGATAAACTATGCACCGATATGGGGATATACTATGGACATCTTTGCATATTTCAACACCTCTCACTCGCACTTTTCTAGCAAATAGTATCCAACAAAAAGAGTCGTGCGAAAGTTGTTAATTTTCGTTTTAGTTTTGTTTTTGTATTTTTCACACTCACCACAGGGGGGAGTGGCATATTTGTCTGACGATCTGAAAACAAATATTACGCAATTTTTGGCTAGCGACTAGGAAATACTTTACTTGAGATATTTCCGACTCAGTTAAAAAGTCAGAAACTTCTCATTACTATGTATTATATCATAATAAACATAAAGATATAACTGAAATACCAAAATAAATTTTACAGTTTACTATTTAGTTATTAAATATAAATCATAGCTTGTATATTTCATATAAAAATACAATTTTTTGCTAAGAAATATTTAAAATGCCCAAAAGAATTCCATAAATTACTATTTGAAAAGGAATTTCACAATTTTACTGTTCCTTATCTAGTCGTTATTTACCCCATTGCACGGTTTAACTATTCGGTTAGTCACACCCTTTTTAGCCCCCCGTTGTTCGGGGTAAATGCAAATGTTAATACGCTGTCAGTGTTGTTACTTTGTTGTTATTACGGTTTCTAGTTGGAAATTGCAATTTTTAGTTTTTGTTGTTATTGTCTCTATGTTTCTATTCTTGGCGTGCCTTTCGCAATTTATTTGCAGTTGTGCGCGGGATATTTCGAACGTTCGGGAAAGTAACATATTGCGCCATAATTTGGAGATGGGGCGCGAAAAAATACAAATAATAGGAAATAATTATGGAAACCAGTATGTATAGACTTTTTAATACCCTTTACTTATGTAAAATATGTTTTTAATGTAGTTTACAATATTTTGTTTTGATTATATTGTTCCAACTTGTATTGGTATTTTTATTAAAAAATCTTATCCTTTTAATATGTTTCAAAAATATATTTATATACCCTTTTTCTTCAAAAGCATGGGGTATAGACAGAGGGAGGGCACCCTGCTCCTGAGATTTTGGGCCTATGGATTAGGAAATGTGCAGACAGACTGACAGACAGAGAGAGAGAGAGAGGCCGCGCAGGAAGAGCTTTCTGCAAATATAAAAAAAAAGTTCGGGAAGAGGCAGGCAAAACAAAAACAAACTTCCGCCTCATCCACCCACCGAAAATGAATACATAAAATGTGTCTTAACCTTGACATTGAACAGCAAAAAACACACTCACACACACAAAATGTGCCGGCAAAACAAGTTAAAAGAGTAAAAGAGATGCACAGAGCAGGAATTCATTCATTAAACAGAGACATAGCTATAAATTTAAAGGGAAAGGCAAGAATTCAACTTTTTTTAAATCAGCAAAGTTTGTTTACCAACACAATAACAATAACAATAAAACAATAAGTACAGTGCAAAATTTAAATAAAATAAAAATGGGCCGCGTGTGGCGCTAAAAATAAACACCAGTAAATGCAAACAAAACAAGAAATAAACAAGAAAAAAAAAACAAAAAACCAAAAAAAAAAAGAGCGATAAACAATTTTATGGACGTTTATTTTTGAATTAAACACAAATCATCACAGAAATTTGCTGATAAGCGGGAAGGAATTGCAGACCAAAGAGGAGCGAAAATTGCAGGCAAAATAAAACGAGAATAAAAAAGAGAAAGAGTGAGCAAAAAATAGAGCTTAAGACCGATCAAAGAGAGTGAAAACACACGCAAAAAAAAAAGTAACGCAAATATCGTGGCCTTGAAAAGTGGGCAAAAACAGAAACACACAAATAAAAGCAAAGCAAGAGCAAGAGAGAGCGCAAAAAACCAGAAGAATGAATGGAATTATGCCATAAAAGGCAAAACAAAGTTCTCAGCTTAGAAGAAAAGAGCGAAGAACGCGGCATAAAAAAGAGGGGTTGAGATTCTTATAAATAAAAAAAAACCTGAAGATCGCGTTCAAAACAACAAAAACGACCACAAAAAAAACGATCTAATTCCTTTTCGTGTTTTTTTCTTATGCTCTGTCTTTTTTATCGGGAAATCCAGAGATATACCGAAATAAATAATATTTTTTTTTGGCGCCGCTTGGAAACGGAAATATTAATGTTTTCAGGCATCTTAAATAAATAAGAGGAAACAAGAAACAGAAGAAAAACATGTGTCTGAATTCCAGATGATACATATGGATGGATCTGTTGCTATATGGCAGCAAATAAATTTTAATAATTTCCATTTTTTATGATTTATGTCTCACAAAAACAAAAAGAAAGAAAATTACAAATAAAAGTGGAGAAGAAAGAACGAACGAAAAACTGACATGGATAAAAGTGAAACTTTTTCACCAAGAAATATCAGAAAGAAAAAAGATACAATATTCCAAAAGAAGATATCAAAGAGGATTTCAGAAAAGGGAGACGACAGACAGCCTGTCTCTTGTCTTACTGCTAATTTACTGGAACAACAAAATAAAATTATCAACTTCCTTAAGTGAAATTGTTTGCCAATTTTTTCATTTATAAAGCGCATTTTATGTTTAAATTTTTCTGCAAATATTCGACTGCAGCTGTTCAGCCAGCGAATTAGTCAAAGGAAACAGAAACATCAAGGTTATTATATAATATATAGACGTTGGAGCCCGGCAAACGAACGAAAAATGGGCAAACAAATGCCTCAATTGTTGATAACACTCAGCAACACGATAATGGAATGAGAAAATATCAATCTAGTATCGAAGTGGGATTTTTAAGGAATTTTATAAAACCTCAGAGGTCGTAAAGAATTATTATAGGAGTAAAAAAAAGCTTACTTTCAGAAATAAAATTACAAGAACTTGATATGTTTATCTTAAAATCTTATAAATATTAAAAAGTATCTCCAATTTTACTTTATTCATTTATTTATAATTAAAATACTGTGGAATATTTGCACCTTTTATTTCTTCGCTATTTTCCCAAAAGTTTTCTGAACAAATGTAATAATTTTCGCTTTTAACAAGAACTTAATTTCCAGCGAAACTTATTGCAAGAACTGTTTTTACCCCTGGGCTTGCCTTGCCGTTCAGTGTAATTGATAAAAGTTTTGTGAATAAATATTGAAATTGCTGATGTGCGCCCCCCGACGACCACATGTTGGGGAATTTCGCCACACACATTTCATTCTTCTTTGTGTTGCCCCTTGGCCTCTTTTCTCTACTTTTTTTTTACATTTGTATAGCAAAACTTAAGAATATCAGTTTTGGCAATCAATTTTCTCTGAATTTTATTTTCTGTTATATTGATTTTTATCAAAAAAAAAATTTAATAAAATATATTTCGCTTGGGAATGTACCTTTTAATCAGCAAATTTAGTGATAAATATATTTTGAATTTTTTTTATAAATGGAAAATTACTTTAAGAACGACAACATTAATTTTTAGATGAGGGATACATAGAAATTGTATTAAAAATAAACCCCAATAAGAATAATATTTTCGCCACATTTAAAAAACGTTTTTAAGCGAATTTAATTTTAAATATTCCTACAAAAACTAACCGAAACTCGGCTTTAATTTTACTTTTTTCTAAAATTGTTTTTAAGGCTTATAATATTCAAAAATATTTTTGAACTCACCGCACTCTCTCTGAATACAGTTCAACCTCCTTGTTTTTCTGCTGCTGCACAAGTTGCTGCTGCTCGTAACTGGCCAATGGCTTGAAGTTGCTGATGTTGGCCAAAGCCCTTATGGGGAACTGTTGCTGCTGCTGCTGTGGCTGCTGGGGAGCGATCAGTAGGTTCTTGGATAGACCCAGTCCGTTTTGCATGAGCAGAGACTGTTGCTGCTGCTGCTGCTGTAGAAGCTGTTGCACCGGGGAAACGGATATCTCGCCGCTGGACTGCGAGGCCGAGGGCGACGTGGAGCCACTTCCGGCGCCACTAGAGGATAGACTGCCGGCACGAGCTCGTAAATCCAAGCCGAGGACATTATTCGGATTGAGGATGTTGCTCAGAGTGGCCACTACGCTGGGCTGGAGTAGATCCGAAGAGTTGGAGTTGTTGTTGGTGGCACTGCCATTATTGCCACTATTATGCGGCAATCCAGAGCCTATAACTCCCACATTGGGATTGGGAGTAATGCCGCCATAACTGTTGCCGTTATTCTGACTCAGTGGCGTCTTGGTGTTACTACCTCCAGCTCCTGCTCCTCCGCCGCCGCCTCCAGCTCCGCCGTTGTTGTTGTTGTTACGATTTCGCTTTTTCTTGGCCTTCTTCTTGTCATCGTCCTCGCTGAGGTTGCCATTGATGGAGCCCCTGTTAGTACCACCGTTTAGGTAGATCAGGGAATTATTTGCAGCCGAGGGAGCCACCCAGTCGAGGTCCTTGCGCAGCTGTCCCCGTCCACACTTGCAGCTGCAGGCCTTGTGGACCAGTTCGTAGCCCTTCTTGGTCCACAGATGCTGCAACCGCTGCCTTTCCGACCAGGATCTGGCCCTGCCATTGGACTTTAGAGTCTGCAGGACTCCCGCCTCCCAGAGTTCGAAGCACTCGCGATGCATATACTGCCCGGCCGAACAGTTCTCGTTGTTGCACAGAACTCGGATGCAGTCCGCCAATGAGATCTCGTTGAGGGCAATCAGTGAGTCCAGCTTGCGGCAGTCGCCGCTGGGCAGACAGCACCGTACGACGCCGCCTCCTCCGTTTCCAGAGCCCTGCATGGGCGCCATTAGAACGGAACCGGAAGTGGAGTTCTCTGAGTAAAACTGCAGCAGTTGCTGCTGCTGCTGATGCTGCTGCGTATGCTGGTGCTGCGTGTGCTGCTGCGTGTTGCTATTGCCACTGCTGCTAATATTACTGTTGCGACGCGGCGCCATAAATTCCCTTGGTTTTCCTCAAAATATCAAGATGCACGCAGGTTTTTTAATTTTATTTTTGTTTTTGTTTTTTTAGCAAAAATCGTACTTTTCTCAAGAGAATAAAAGCTCAATTTCTTTTGCGGATCAGCATTTTGCTATTGGGAATTTATATCTCAAAATATTGCTTGGAAATTTCCGATTTGATTTGTTGTTGTCGGCGTTCTATAAATGCTTGCAGATTTTTATATTTATTTATTGAATGTTTCCAGTGTTTTATTTATAGTGAATTTATTTTTGTATGGAGCTTGAAATTTGGAGGTTTATTTTCGTTGGTTTCTTGTATTTTTCGCGAAGTTTCAGTTATTTGTTGATTTTGCGTTGGAAATGCTCGTTATTTTTAGTTATTTATTTTTGTAAGATTTATCGGGCCAAATTTTCCATTACTTTCTGTTAGATTGTTTTTAGTTGTAGATTTTCTGAACAATTGTCGGAAATTTCTTGTATAAATGCTTAAAAATTTTGCGTGGTCGAGATTTTTTGTTGTTGTCGGAATTGTAAATTTTACTTTTTTGTATGTCGTTGATTGTATTTTAAATTGCTTGATTTTTTATATTGCTTATTATTATTTTTTTATCATACACCTCTTAGCCGTGTGTATAAAAAATATTTCCAAAAAAGAATTTGCGATTTGTTGTCTCGCGTTTTTTACGTTTTGCAGTCTATTTTTGTGGTTTTCCTGAGCTGAGTTTATTATTGTGGTTGTTTTTGTAGAACGTTAAGTATCAAAAATTGTCTATTGTTTATCTTCTTTGCTTCTTTTCTCTTGCTCTCTTCTACACACGCGGCGCCATGTTCGGCAATTCTTCACATCTTGCTTTGCTTCGTTGCTTTTGTTTTTGTCGTCGCCCGCTTTACCGTTTGTTTTCGCCGGCAAGAAAAGGGAAACCGGGAGAAGGAATAATGCAAAAATTGCCGACAGATGAATTGCAGACCGTTGTACTATTATTATGCTTTATGGATTTATTTAATTTTATTTGTCAACACAACCAGGATGTTATTTATTCGGCGAACAGTATTACAGGCTCAGCATAAAACACACCTCTACACACATCCAGTAACATCCAAGCTGTCCGAAAGCGAATAAACTTTACATATAAAATTTAAATGGAAAGCAAAATGAGTTTTGTTTTCTGATGTTTTCCTTCTTGGAAATTCACGAATTTTCCGCGGCACAACCGCTTTCGTTGGCTGAATTTTTTGAACTGTTTCCTTTTCTCTTTTCGTTTCTCTGCCTCTGCTTTGCTGCCTCGTTCCGTTCGTTCCAACTTCGAGCTGCGAAGCCGACGTCGACGCCAGCGCCAGCTGAGACTGCAAAGGCGACCGCACCGCTCTGCTGGCATTGGCAGCGCGTTCGGAGTTTTCCAACGTTGTTTTCCTTGGATTCCCTCGCTGTTTTTTCGGGGGTTGGTGGGTGGTGGTTGGCTGGTTTTCACTTTCCACCACCACCGCCAACCATCGCTTTTCATTTGACGTTCGAAAAAGAATGATTTTGGCGCTAAAAAGGGAAAATGGTACGGGAAAATGGGGAAAATTGGGGTGGTATGTGGGGGAGGGAGGTTATTTTGGAATATATGTTTTATGTTATGATATTTTTAAAAAATAACTCCATTTGTGATATATTCAGGAGGAAAATTTTTGCTTTTATTATAAATATTTTTACAAAATATTGTTTACAAAAATTTACTTTCTTGTGTTAGTTTCTTGTATATTTTGCTGAATTATTTTGATTACTAATTATTAATAATTAATTAAAGTAAGATGATAATGTTTAATTAAGGTTACTTCAATATTTTTTTTTATATTTAAAACGCAGTGATAAAGAAAAAAAACACTTTAAAGTTTAGGGGTATAAAATTTAGTTTAAAAAATGTCTCAAAATATCTTAACCAATCATTTTTACTAGTTTTCCCAGCATTTTCTTGCGACTTACACTTTTAAAATTCACTTTCGTTGCGGTTCGAAGCTGGCTCGAAGCGTGTTCGCCGCCAATCGTTTCCCCTCGAACGTGCTCGACCGCGGAGAGGCAGAACATCGAACAGGTTTGAGTTCGGTCACGCTGTCAAACGGTCGTGCTTGTGTGTGTGAATGAGAGAGCTTGTGCGAAAAACCGGCAAAGTAAGCAATATGGAAACAGGGTTGCCGAGTGCCTTGAATTTGCAGCGCACTTTTGCTTTCCTTGGCTAATCTCTTAATGCCACTGGAATAACTGTGCTTGCCATCTCTCTCTTCCCCGCCACTCTGGACCATCTGTCTCTGTCACACTCCAGTACATAATTCCTTATGTGCAGTCACATTTCGAGTGCGTGTGCATGAAACGCCATGCGAATGCCGGTAATAAAAGAGGCATTAAAAAAATACTCAAAGCAAAGACACAAAGAATGGGCAATATGAAATGAAGGTTAGATCAATGCGAAATACCCTTTAAAGATTAAACTTAATGGAGTTTAATAGATTAGTTTTTGAAAAAATATAATATTTAAAAAATCATGTACAATGCTTTAAAGTTTTAGTAAAATAATATTACGAAATACAGAGTAGGGTATTATTGTCTCTGTCAATATTGAATTAATTTTGTACGTAGAGCCTTTTATTGTATCCTCGTCAGGCTTCATGTACTTGTTTCCCACTCTCCCTCCCTCCTTTTATCATTCTCTCTGACTCCTTCCCTCTCTACTTCCCTCTTTCATGACTCCCTTTTTATATAAAATTCCCGCTGCGCGTGTTGCAAAAAAAAAAAATGCGAAACCGAATGGGAAGAAGCAGTGAAATAAGGGCACGTGTAGAAGAACAAGGGAAAAGGAGGTGGAACGCGGATTGGAACTAAACAATTCCAGATGAGAATTTCTTATAGGACTCGCAGGATCTAGGGTACCTTTTCTTTCAGGCGATGTGGCGCAAAGTCAAGGTCCAATTGCACTTATTTTGCGAGTCAAACTGCGCAGTTTCCAGCACTCCTTTTCGACCTGCCACGAAAAAGAAGAGAACAAGGAGGAGCACAAAAAAATAGGGTTAGTGATGAAGAGGGAAGAGAGGGAGTGGGAATAGCAGGGATCTCTGATATAATAATTAAGTCAGGTAGGCAGCCATTGCGTAATAAGATCATGCACATGTGTGCGTATGTTTGTTTGTTGTTCTAGCTAAAAGGATCGAAGTGGTAGAAAGAAAGAAAGGAAAAAACAATGAAGACCGAGAGGGAAGGCAGAGAACAAAGGAGAAGCCTGAACTAGTTTGTTCTTGTTGTTATTGTCATCTCAAGGATTTCGCTTTTGTGTTCCATTCCCGCTCTGACCTAATTTTAATGACCAATGCATAACGAAAAAAATAATAATAATAAGAAAGAGGCGGAGGAAACAGAAGAAGAAGCACAGAAGACCTGATGGCATGTGTGTGCGGTGGAAAGGGAAGAAATGTGTAGAGGAGGCGGTAAGAAAATGGAAGGAGAAATTCAGAGAGCCTTGGGCAAAAAGCTGAGCTCATAATTCTTCGGCGACACGCATCAAGTTAAATTTTGCATAATTAATGGCAGCTCTGGCAACGCCTCAAGGGTGACAGGGCTGCAGAGCACTGAAAGAAGTGCAAGTTGATAAAAGCTTTAAAAAAAAAGAGGTGGTCACTCTTTGAGTAGCCATAGTATTAAATAAGTTGTATTTCGTTATTATAAATATTTATATGAATTTACAATATTATCATTATATTATTATTAAAAAAAACTTTAGTTACAATTTTTTAAACTACTAAAACTTTCTAAAAACCTAATAAAATCATAAAAAAATATGTTTATGTAATCAAGCTTTAATGATGACTTTGGGCTTTCCAAACAATTTGCGTGTTTCTTGGGCTTCCTGTTATTTGAGTTCAAAACCAGGGTGTGAAAGTGTGTTCCTCGAAGGAACTCTGCGGTGGCGTAAGAAAATCCACAAGATATATCACACGGATGGTTCTAGATCCCCCCAACCTTCACTAACGTTTTAACCATCCGACCATTTATTTAGACCTCTCGTTCTGGCCTCGGTCGAGTCCTGAGGGTGTGTCGGGCAGATGTGTTCAACGCCAGCCCTAAACTCCTCCATTTCGTACCACTTCCTCACCATTCCCGAAAATTTTCTCTGACAGAGCAGGGCATTATTTGTAATTACTCATACTCCCGCATCTATCCAATCGGAAGCAACTTTGAAACCCAAAATAGGGTTTGAAATTCAACTGCCATGGCAACATGCCAAACCCAAGCCCCGTATAACTTTGTATATAACGGTAAACATAATGCTTGTATATATTGAAAATATATGTAGACATAAAAGAGACATAAAGAGGGAGAGAGTTGTGTGTTTTTCTGGCATCGCGTCGAAGGGTGTCGTAATTTCGTTTCGTTGCCAAAAATAACCCAAACTCCATTTTGTCCAAGCTTGCCGAAGGATGATGATGGAGCAGCAGCAGAAGAGCCCACAGGACTCTTTCTTCCCTTTCTCCTCTCAGGATATGGGTCTGATTCATGCTGCTTTGCTTACATAAGCGAAATGAAGTCAGCATTCGCCCTATAGACATACATATTTTCATTTAACGAAAAGGATATCATACACTCGCATCGAATTGGAATGATTTTTTGAATTCACGTAAATGTTGATTTCCCAAAAACAAATTCTTGGGACTAAAAAGACTATTGTTATATTACCTTTATGTTTACTAATTCATTCAAGGAACATATTATTTTCTTAATTTAAAATATACAAAGCAATAAATATGTATTTTTTTTATTTAGTTTTTTGTTTTTTAATCAGTTTTTTTTATTTTCATATTTTTTGTCGTCCTATGGAGTTCCATTTGTTCCCCCACAAATATTTTTAGGAGAGTCGGTGTACGCATTGTTCCCTCCCACTTTGCTTTGTATCCCGTATCCCTGTATTCCTGTTTTCCTCCTGTATCCTCCTTTTTGTGTGGACCCTTCTCAGTGGCGCCAAGTGAAAGTGAGCGAGACAGCAAATCCATGCTGAAATTTCATTTGTCCTTTTGTGGCAGCAACCACAAGGATATTTCTGGAAGGAGTGGGTGTGGTGAGCGGAGAAGAGCCGAAAAGTACGGATGACGACGAGGCGCACGCACTTTTTGGCTCAGCATTTTCGGGGGTATTTTTTATGTCGGTATACTCACACACATACGAAATAATACTTTTGTACATAAGTAATAAACATACAGGGTGTTCCACATTGCATGTTTCATTAATTTCAGCTAAGTCCCTAAAAGGAGTGAGAGACTCCGCCCACCAGACTCAAAAAATAATATATTTAGCAGGTAAGAGAGTACAGGTAAGCAGAAAAATAAATAATGAATAAAGGAAATGCTGGAAAATGGACATGTTCTGAGGAAAAATGGAGAAAAGTTAGTAAAATGGCGTGTGAGCTGAAAAGCCGAAATTTTCCTATTGAAAACAATTAAATTTTTTCAAGGCAATCTATTTTCTTTTTATTTGCTATTCCCTGCTTGCCAAATGACCAAACTGACTCCCTCAAAAAGTGCTATATGACCAAGTTTGATAAGCTGACCAATACACATGTAAATGCATAATGCAATATTTGCTAACACGCTGACCTTCAACATTGAATTAAAGGAAGGAGTGAGAGAGACTGGAGTGAGTTAAGAGAGGCAAAGAAACAGACCCAGGCAGCGAAAAAAAAGCAGACGAAAAGGAAGTGGCGGACTGACGGAGAGCTAAAAATATGCAACCATGCAGCACACACACACGCACACAGCCAAACAAGTCGCCGAACCACTAATACAAACGCAAATCGTGCGATTTTATAACATGAAATTGAAATTTGCTGCATGAAAACGAAATTTGCAACATGCCGAAAACGAAACGCAGCCGCTGCACGGCGTCGCAGTCGACGCTCGAGTTGGAGTTGCAACGAAGATGCTCTTTGGTTGGAAAGAGGGAGCGGGAGCTGCGCGCGCATTAGAATCGCTTGCAACAGCGACGTCGCCGTCGGCAGCGCTGCCCGTACTTCGGTTTTCAAGTGCAAGGTGCTTACCATCCCACCCCCGTCCTCGCCCTTTGCTCCACCACCACCACGTTCGAGTTTTTCAAGTTCCAAGGGCAACTGCAGCGGCAGCGCAGCAACTGCGCTTGGAAGGCGTCGGCAGAGGAGCGGCAGAAGAGCAGGTTCTGGAACTTCTCTCCACTTCACTCTCTCGGTGTCTGTTTCTCTCTCTATTCT